TGTCGGCAAAGATATTGGGCAAGATGAGGTGACCATGCCGATAAAACGTAAGTATGCCAGCAAATATTTGTTTCCAAGTTAACGAATTCGCCTAGGATGATTTAGTATTTCATGAAGACATTTTCCACGACATCATAATGAGAAAAAAGATTCATTAATCCAAGTGATGATAGTTCCTTCGCTCCTGATTTATTCAGCTATAGTCATTTTGTTCTGGAATATTTTTCTTCTCTTCGTCTCTTGTACGAATCAGTGAAAATGAGAATAATAAAACTACGTTTTCTGTGCACATGTCACATATGATGGCCTTGATTTAGTACTGTTACAAGAACTTATCACACTCACTATCAACAAGCTACCAGCAATGGAAAGGTTCACTCCCTTGTAAATAGCATTCTCTTCGATTGATCTCTAACAATGATCGATCTGCACCATATCTCGTTCGTTTGTTCTTCATAAGCAAATTTACCTTTTCCTAACTCTAACCAAACATTATAAAACCGTCTGATTTCAGAGGCTGTTTACGTTTCTTGTAGAGATGTGACTTGTTTTTTGCGTCAACCAATAGCAGCAGTAAGTGAAATATTCTATAGGTTAACGTCAGGCTGCTCGCATCAATAACCACTACGATGCATTCACGGTCGTCAGCGGATTTATTTTAGCGGCATCAGACGGCTATTGTTTGTATAATACGGACGGTGGAAGAGAAAAAGACAGTAAGCTTATATTTAAACGATGCTTCATACAATGTGCATCTACATATTATCAATCAGCACTATGACTGACGAACGTTTTGTTCATTTCAAATTATCCGATCGATCGGTGCACACAATTCTTGGTGCTATTCTTAAGCCTTATCCAGATTCTTATCTCACTCAACTTGTCTTCAATGACGCCTTCAAATCGGCCAAAGATGAACAAGGCTACTTTTGGGTCGACGAAGAATCACAAATATTTGCTGGCATACTTACGTTTTATCGGCATGGTCACCTCATCTTGCCCAATATCTTTGCCGACATTCGTGATTCGATCATCAACAAGTATCTCCTGCCCATCGAAACATCGTGTATTTCTTATTCTCTGTCGATAACAACGGGATGTGGGTGTGGGTGGGTGTGGGTGTGTGGGGGTAGTAATAAATACTCATACCCACACCCACTCACATCCACACACCACCCACCCACACCCACACCCACACCCACACCCACACCCACACCCACACCCACACCCAAAATATCATCAATTATGATTCATCTTATCGATGAACGTTGTAATAAAATTAGTGAACGTATTAAATGTACGGGGTGTCCGGAAAGTTATTTAACAAAAGTTTTTTCGTATATCTTTACTGTTTCATTTAACATTATCAACAAATTCTTTTTTTATTATAAGCGAATATGCCGAGTTTTTATTTATCCCAGCGACTTTCGATGGTATCCTGCAAAACTATTATCTTTGATCGAAATACAAAAATTTTGTTATTTTTGTGAGATGCGAGTAATTCAAAATTTGATGATGTTTTTTCTTTGATGTTTTCATATGGTTAGATAAAGTTTCTCGAGTTCTACAAGAACATGTATATTGAGAATTTTTTACACCTTTTCTTTGAAGCAAAATTTACAGAGAGCTACTACAGAAAGACTAAATAATTAAAGAAAAAATGCTGCATAATGTTCTACATGCATCTCACAGAAATAGCAAAGTTTTTGTATTTCGATCAAAGATAATAGTTTCGCAGGATACTATCGAAAGTCGTTCGGATAAATAAAAACTCGGTATGTTCGCTTATAATTTAAAAAAAAAATTGTTGATAATGTTAAATGAAACAGTAAAGATATACGAAAAAACTTTTGTTAAATGACTTTCCGGACACCCGGTATCTGTAAATTTAAAGCTCTATCTAGTCTACCAAAATCGAACTTATAAGTCTGTAAGTTCAAAAAGCTTTACGTTATTTGTGTTCTTGTTAGTTTAATTTCAGTTCTTCATATCATTTTTCTTTTTCAGATAAATACATTTTTGTTTATTACACATACAAATCATTCTATCAACAATGAACGTCAACGATACTAATAGACAAAATAATATTCCAGTTCCAAATCAACAAAAATAATGGAAAAAATGTCATGGTAATCGAAGAGAGCAACGTTTTAGACGAAAATGTCGTGCTCAGCAAATGGAACCAGCAAAGATGGAAAAATCAATCAAGAAAAGAAACCATATTCATAAGAAAAATAAAAAATGTGACTCTATAAGACATACGATAAATGCTGCTAATATATACTCAATAACTGGGAAAACTAATCAATATCAAAAAATAATAACAACACCCCCACCATCAGCAGCAACAGCAAATCTTAATAAACGTAAACAAGATGTATCACTACAACAATTATCAATAACAAAAGATTCAATGTCTATTCTACAACAACCATCAGCCAAAAAGATGATGAATATAACAAAAACAATGAGTATTGATCCGATAATAAATGCCAATAATAACACTAGTATGAATATCAATACAAGTTATCGGTATGTTTTGAAAATTTCAACATGTTAATTATCCATAATGCATTTCATTTTATAGATGACCTAGGAATTTAATGCGATCATCATCCATACTTTGTCAAATATTAAGTAAAACATTAAATTATTCATTAAAGAAAAACGATGAACAAAGGTTTATCTATGAACCACTTAAACTATTAGATGAACAATATTGTCTAGAAATGGACCAACAATTATGGAAATCCTATTTAGATATTGGTTTACAACAATATATATGACCAGTGAGTTTGTTTGTTTGTTTTTCTTTTGGAGCCATTCTTTATATCATATTTCTCTTTCAATGACGTGAAGGATCAACTGCATTCGATGGCAAACACAAATGATTTCGAATTATGTAAAGAATATCTCATAAATTATATAGAAAACATTAAAACACAATTGGATCAATGTCAATTTGAATTGACAAAACATTCCCAACCGTGTCCAATCACAGCATTATCATTTCATCAAATTGAACAATGTCTCAAAGAATTGGCTGAGGGTGTGGATGGGTGTGGGTGTGGGATGTGGGTGTGCTTGAAGGGAATAGCTACACCGACACCCTGGCACTATGAAGTACTCCAAATGAGACCCACGCCCTCATACTTGTATCGTCTATATCTCTGGAACATCTCATCCGTTTGAGCTGAAATTTTGAGTTTCTTCCTAGCTTTGCTAGGTCTACCTACTGTGAAAATGTCAGCCAAATCGGTCACATCGATTGAGCAACGTTGGTCGTGGCTTACGTGCAATGCCTCCTAAGTACCAATTAGTTTGACGGTCACATATTTCCTAGAGTGAAGTACCATTGTTCTCTGATTGTCGAGAGATAATTTGACCATATAGCAAATCTGAGTATATCATTCAATACAGCTCGTCGAGTTATAAATCCGAGAAAAATAGGAAATATAGAATATGATTATGGACGGAATGGGGTACCAATTATTTTGAATGTCACATATTTCCTGTGATGCAATAGCAGTTTTTTGTAATTTTCGACGATATATATCCCCATAGGGCAGCTCTGATTATATCAGTGAATAGAGCGTATCGAGTTGTATCGCAAAGAAAAATAGAAATTCTGGAATACGATCTCGCACAAAAATGGGGTTGGAATTACTTTGTTGATGACATATTTCCTATGGTGATGCACTATTGCTTTTGTGATTGGCGAAGACATAGCTTGAGCTATAGAAAATTGGATTATATCATTGAGTAGAGCTCATCAAGATCTATTTGTGTGAAGAATAGAAACTCTGAAACATGCTTTTAGACAAATTGGAGGTAGAATTACTGAAAGTGTGCGTCAACTACACCTATGTGTAACTGCTTGTGTAATTAAAGGAATGTGTCTCAGGGGATGACGTCAATTTACCTGCGTATTAGCTTAAACGTGTGTACTGTATCAATGGCGTATAGTCGTGCGCATCTTGGTTTTTTTCCTTTGCGTAATAAGAATATTCTGTATTATTAGTCATGATGAGGACGATAGGTATAAAAGCCGTCGTCTTGTATGTATTTTTCGTAGAGAGCATTCATAAGGGATGTTTCAGGAATTTTTTTTGTGACCACTCTCTGAGGAGGAAAATGCATACTTTTCTGTACTTGTAAGCTTTGTTTCAATTTTTTGGGGAGCATTGTTTCGAAAGAAACTATGGCGTTGTTGCAGCATGTTTCTATACTCAATCTTAAATAACATTTGGAATATATTAGTGCAGTAAAATTATACAGAACGGGCCATAAAATAAAAAAAAGCTAATATAGTAAGTCGTCAATTGGCAGTGGTAGGAAATGTATGACATATCTTGAAAACAAACAATCTGACCATTCTGAAGAGTATTAGCTAAGTTATATGAATTTCTAATTTATAACATAATGACTAGTAGAAAAGAAGTACAAGGTACTTAGGAAAATTTGAGAAAAAGATAAGTATATGAATATATAAAAACGGCTTTTTACTGAAAATTAATAGTGAGAAGCAGATAAAGAAAGATACGTAAAATAATGGAAATTCTAGAAAGCATGCATTTGATATATGACTTCTCATAGTTTCTTTGAGTTGACTATGATTGTAATAATTTTGGCTTTGAAGTAGAGATGAGTATGGGCGAGTGTGGGTGTGGGTGTCTTCAACATTCATCAACACCCACTCACCCACATCCACACCCTAAATAAAACACTATCCTTATTTTGATTCTTCTATAGTTGTAATCATCGATTTGAGGTTCAATTAAATGTTTCTTTTTTAACATTCGTCTTGAAAAGTCTCGTATGTATTTGATTAATCATTTCAAATTAACCTAAGTTAGCGGAAAAATAAAAATATTTTCAATATCTTTTCTTTCAGACAAAGCTTAAATATTCTTATCGATCAAGGTTTTGTTTAAATGAAGATATTAATTATTTCTGAACATCTTTTTCCTGAAACAAGTGGTATTGCTGTTCGCATTGAATATTATGTAAAATATTTAAAACAATTGGGTCATCATGTTACTGTTTATGGTCCAAAAAAATGTCCAACAGCAAATCGAAAATTAGTTAGTATTCCATTTTATTTTTTTAATACTGATGTTTCTCAATGTTTGCCATCATTTCAATTATACAAAGATATTGTTTTTGAAGAATATGACATAGTGTATATTGTTGGTCCAAATGTTCTTCTAGGCACTATTTTTCTTTATTTACTTTGTAAATTAATGGGTATCATTGTTTGTACATCTTATCACACAAATTTATTTGATTTTGGCCTGGAATATTTGAAAAATCCTTTCATACGCAAATTATGTGCGTGGTTGCTTACTTATTGTCTTTATTATCCAACAATATGGTTGAAAATACCCATTTTACATCCTGAAAATTTCATTGATCTCAAGATTCTTTGTAATAATTTTAATAAGGGAAATATTCTATCAACAGGCATTGACACTAATTTATTTCAATATTCCGAAAATTTTACTAAAAATAAATTGATACATGTTGGACGAATAGCACCAGAAAAAAATTTATTTCGATTAATTGATTTATTTTCATTGGTTCAAGATGAATATACTTTGGATATTGTTGGTTTTGGTGCAACTGAAGATGCATTAAAATTATATGTCAAAGAAAAACAAATAAAAAATATTCAATTTATTGGTCGAATTGATTACAAGAATTTATATAAGTATTATCAAAGTGCACAAGCATTTATATGCACAAGTTTAAATGAAACATATGGTTTTACATTACTTGAGTCATTGTCATGTGGAACACCTATTATCTATCCAAAATGTCCCGTATTTGAGAATTTATATGAACCATATTTTCCTCAATTAGAATATGATATAAATAACGACAAAGAATTTATCAATGCACTCAAATATATTCAGCAAAATGGTGAAAACTTGCCACAATTATGTCGAGCATACGCTTGTCAATATTCATGGGAAAAAGCAACAGAAGATCTCGTTTCAATTTATCAAAATATTATAGTCAATCATAAAACAAAGATAATTTAGTAATATATTAGGATAATTTTATCTATTAAAATATAACATTTTATTTTCATAATTTTCATAGTTTGAATACAACTTTTATTAATCTTTCAAATTTTATATTTATCGTTCTTCGAAAAATATTTTCTTTCCAAATTATATTCATTAACATATTCAATTTTTGAAATAAAAATACTTGAAAAATTTTATAAAATTATATAACTGCGCATTATAACTTCGAATTAATGTTTGAAACTAGAAAAGTGTGAACTATCAGTTGTCGATGTAGATTCTCTCTCTTCTCTCATACTGACACATCTATATTTTTAATATTGATTTTTGCGTGAAGGCATAATTTTATTTAGCATAAATCATCAAGTTTTAATCAATTGAAAACTACTCAATCAGATTTCATAAGATTGAGATTTAAATCGATCTCAAATTTTTATTTGAATATAAATCAAATAATTGATAATAATCTTCAAAAAAAACTTATTTAATCGAATTTTTTTCAGAAAAAATCATATGGACTGGTTTATTATCGAAAAGATCGTTATTTTACTTGGATATTTTCCACTAGAATGAAATATTTTTCAAGAGTAAAAGTTTATGCGCTAGCAGGTACATGACTAACTACTTAGATAGATGAATAAACACAGTCAGAAGCAACTAACTCGAATGATACTTGAATAAACATGGTGCCATTTTTATACAAGAGAGAGAGAGAGTGACCGACAAATATATGGGGGTGGTCAATTTGACTGGTACCCCGTTTTGATACAGTCCTATTGTACGGATAAAACTTACTATTGTCCGGGCCATATAATAGAGAATCCTATATAACCCTGGATTGGCCCGAACAACACTATGTTTTATCCTTACAATAGTAGGAAAAAGCTACCAGCTCACGATTGATGCTAGTAGCTTTTCTCTACTATTATACGGATAAGACATGGTGTTGTTCGGGTCAATCCAGGGTTACATAGGATCCTCTATTATATGGCCCAGACAATAGTAGGTTTTATCCGTACAATAGGACTGTATCAAAACGGGGTACCAGTCAAATTGACCACCCCCATATATATCACAATTGACAAGAGAATTCAGTTAAGTTGGAAATGCGCAAACGAGTTGAAAAAACGTTTCTTGAAGCAAAATTTTTCTTATAATAAGAATAAACGCTTTATACTAAAAGAGATTTTTTTAAAGCAATAGCAATGTTCTTCAATTTGCCCAATCAGAAAGATCAGGTTTTTATGAAATTTGGCTCTTCTATTAGGTATATATCAATTGTATATTGTTGAGATCGTCAATAGAATTTAAGAAATACTGAAATAAATCTTTCTAGATATACAACAAATAGATAATTCAGATTTAATAATTTAATAATCATTTGAGATTTGTCATGAACTATTCACACTCACATGCACATCTGATATATTTTTCTTAACAAAATGAATTTGTTGATCCAATCCCACTTCAAAGATATACACGTTATTTCCATATGCCTTTAATAATACAATGAATTTGCTGACCGAACAAAAGCTAAACTAGAAGTTTTGTTCCTTCAGTTGAATGGATAGAGTTTCATGCGCTAGTCATAGATCATCGATATTTAATCTGGACCCTTGCCTTACTATTCTTTAGCTTGTATCCATTTATTGGACTTTGATACTCCATTAAATATAGCAATGCCAAATAACAATCAATGGTGTCTGAAAATATATCTATATTTTCTTTAGCAGACAATTTATATCCTAAGTAAGAGAAAATTCATATTGTGAAAAAAACTTTGTATATGAGCTTATAATAAACTAAAAAAACTATTCACAAAACTGTTCATTATGCTATTAAATTTTTTTTTTTAAGACAATATATAGTATTGATTTTGCTGATTTTAAACACATTATTTAGGGTGTGGGTGTCAGTCTGGGTCTGTTTGATGTCTTGTCAACCCACACCCATATTGGTATATATAATATCTATGAAGCATTTCTTGGAAAATAAACTACAATAACAAAATACAAAGAAAACAACACATGACAACAGTTGTTTTGTGAAAAAAGGATTTTCCTAAAACCTATTCAAATGTAGTGACGCCCTTTCTTTTTGTACTTGTTTATACTGGTTAGCGAAAAATAGACCGAGAAAGCGTAATATTCAATGGTAATTTTTCCAGTATAAAGAAAGATGCTTCAATTTTTCAAAGAGAATATTGTAGTATGAAAAAGATCTTCGTATAAGAATTTTAGTTCTCATGGATGCTTCGACGGAGCACATTAACCAAGGCAATCGATCAATTAAGATATAGATAATTCATCAAAAGGACTTACTTCATGATAGCTTATTTTCAACACTTAAATAGGCGTCATTAACAAAAGAAAACTGTTGAGAAGCTCATTCTTTGATGAAGATAGCTAATTGCTTTTTAATTATTTTTCTAAAAAAGAAAAAAAATCCATTCTCTCTGATAAGGTTCCATCGGAGTATAAATACAGCCACTTTTTCCATCGAATTCACAGTTGTTTTCGCCACATTTATTGATCGTTACGGTTCCCGTCAGTTCTACATCTCCAAAACAAAATAATCGTCGTAAACTACCTGCTTCTCTACACCATAAAGACGACAAGTATTTTTTTTTATTGCGAATATTTTTTCATTTCATTTCATTTTACATTATAATAGTCAATCGTCCTTCTTCCTTCTTTATAACTACTAAAAGAAATACAAACATATTCTATCAAATGTAAGTCACTGATCCACTATGGACAATGAACCTTTTACGGCACTCATTTTTTAAAAATGAATTTATAAAAAAATGATAGTACATTGAGTCAATACATAAATATATGAGATTGAGTTTTTTACTGCGATTATATTGAAGCTACTTCAATATCTTTACAATAATATTAGATTTAGATTAATGATTATTGATCAACGCATAAAAGATAACTTTTTTTCAATATCTGAAAAATACTTTAGTATGTTTATGACAATAAGAGAGAAAGAGAAATGCTTTTTCTATCAATATACGCAATGAATTTTTTTAATGTCTCTTTATTGAAGTTACTTCGCTACTTTTATAAGAATAAGAGAGTTAAATTAGTGTTTATTAATCAATACTCAAAACATAATTTTTTTTTCTAAAATTTCAAAAGTATTTCGATATGTTTATGACAATAAGAGAGAGAAAAATACTTTTCCATCAGTATATACATATATAACTGTTTTTTTCTTATCGATGTATTGAAGTTACTCACTGTTTTAATAGGAATAATAGAGTTAGATTCTTACTTATTAATCAATTCATATAAGAGTATTTTTTCAATATCATAAAAATACTTGAGTATATTCATGATAATTAGAGACAAAACAATAGTTATTAATTTATATATAGGATATAAGTTTTTTTTAACATTTGAGACTAATTTCATAGATATATATATATATAAACTTTTTTTTGTTATCAAGATGTTGACATTGCGTCATTACTTTAATAACAATAATAGAGTTAGATTGCTGCTTATTGATCAATATATATCAGAAAGTTTTTTTCCTAATATTTCAAAAATATTTCCATATGTTTATGACAATAAGAGAGAGAAGAATGATGATTCATCGTTATATATATATATACATATATGTCGGAGTTGACTCTAAAATTCAGTTAACTTTAAAATATTTTAAATGCAATTAGTTGTCTTTAAAATAAATTTTAAGGTCAACTAGTATGGATTAAAATATTTTGAAGTTAACTAGTTGCCTTTAAAAGACAACTGAATTTTAGAGTCAACTCCGACATATATACATGATTATTTTTTACAATTTCTAAAATACTTTAATATATTTATCATAATAAGAGAGATGACAGTCTTTAATAATGAATAAAGATATAAAATTGTATTTTTCATGGTAAATTTTTTGAGTATTCGATTTTTTACAACGACAATAAATGAAAAAGCTCCGAACGCTTGAAACAAATGATTTTTTAAATTTGCATTGGGAATGTTTGATCGTATTTGAACATCTTATTAATAATAGAAAGTCCCACTGTTTAGTTTTTTAGATCAATAAAACATAATATATATTTTTTACGTTAGGATTTTTGAAAATTATTTAAAACATTTTATTGATGCAGACGTAAACATATATATATATAGATTGAAAGTTGAATATTTAATTCGTATTTTTCCTCTTTTATTGATTTATTAAATAGCATGGAACATCGACTTGTTTTAAACAATTTATCTGAATCTGATATTCCTAATAATATTCTCTCCGGTCGGCTTCATCAACGGCTTAAGTATTATAAATTTCGTCGTGTGCCATCAAAAACAGGAAAAGATGTCTTCTACCTGTTTTTACAACGAGAAAGACACCTACTTCGCTCTCCGTGAAGCTAAATCAATAAAAGGAATTTCTCTTGTCCGTTATCGACATCGTAATCCAGTTCCTGCACCGCTACGTTGTCTTGATGATATTGCACCTTCAGAAGCTTGTTACCATCCTGAACCGTCAAGAAATATTATTAATTTAATTCAATACAATAGTGTAGGGTATACTGATCGATTTGCGAATAAAGTATGAAACTACTTTAGGTGATACATTTAATTCTAATTTTTGCCATTTAGCAATTATGTTAATTTAATGCTAGAATTAAAGAGCGTTTTTTTCTTGTACATCTAGTATTATCAAACAATTGACTCGTAAGTCGAAATAATATGGACATATCTTGTTGTGTTAAATGCAATATCTCACTCTTTCAGTGAGTTTTAGTTGCTTATGATCGGCAACATTTTAATAGATGTTTCTTCGCATGAAGGGAATATTCCGCATCTCAGCTAGAAAACCATAGATACATTCTAGTTGGTATTTTTTATGTATAGATCGATGAAATTTAGATGGAAAATGTAATTTAATGAGCTTAGAGTGAATAGCCTACTATTAAAGATAGATAAGACAGATCAGAAATAAAATAAGTATTAAGTGAGCAAAATTTAGAAGATGCTTTACTTATAAAGTATTTTTTATCATGATTACGTACATAAGTATCATTATTATTAATAAATGGAACGCTTGATGAGCTAAAGAGCTTTTTTTCTCACTAAGAGAAATACTTCTTGTATGCAAGTACCATCAACCATGCTACTTGTACATGTTTTAATTAATAGTGTAACACATTCTTCGTATATGGAGATATATGCTATTATATTGTCGTCAATTGACAGTTGAACATCCGCTAAAGAGATTACGATCATATCATATTGATAATAGCATCTTTTCATTTCAACGTGACTGACCATAAGAAATAAATATATTTAAACACATGTGGCATGTGCAAACTTCAACCAGTTGTAAATACTGACCATCAAGGAAGAGAAGAGAAAACTGTAAGAAAAAAAAATATAAAGATATCATTTAAGAGAGGCATGATCGCTTGAGATTGATGAGAATAGTTAATAATTTTATTGCATTCAAAAGAAAGAGGAAAAAATAATCACTCAACGGAAGAGAGAAATCATAATATGTCCATTATATGCGCAGAAAAAAATCAGACAAATGGAGACAGAATCGAATGGGAAAAAGAGAGAGAAGTCGGATTCAACTGACTAATACCTCCTTTGAAAACATACCCTTATCAAATCTATTATTTTAAACGTTCTAAGAGATGTTTTATAATAATAATAATTGTGTAAAACAACAACATAGCATAATTTTATATTAAAACTAGTGCATTTCAAATTAAATGTTCACAAATCCGTGTATATATATGGACATACATAAAGCATACATCTTGGTATATGCTTAATAACTTCAGACCAGGCACATTCAAAGAAAAGGTTAAAAACCGTTAGAAAATCAAGGAAGTAATCAAAATAAAATAAAAGTAAGGAACATGTCACCATTTTAGACAGGATGATAATCTTTTAGAAAATATTTGAATGAACAGAAGCAAAATTTTAATCGATGTATGAAAAAATGATACATTTTATCTTTAATGAACATATGTAACTAAAATTGTGTTTCATTATTTATTGTATCAAAAATTTAATAACAGACTTTGACTAATTCTATTCTACGAGCTAATAAATGTAATCAACTTTCTATGTATAGCAGCAACAATTAAAAATAAAAGTATGTTAATCGCTTTCTCATCATCAAAGACTTTGTGCATTGTTTTCTTTTTATTGGAAACTATCTTATGTATTTCTATCATTTCGAGTATTTTTCAATCAATTGTCACTCAAAAGAACAACGTGTTTTTCTTTCTCATTATTTATTTTAGTTTGATCGATCTAAGTTAAATTAATGTACATGGACAGAAACAGCATATACTGAGCTGATCAAAGAAAAAAACGAAAATTGAAAATATTGAAAAAAAAACAGATCAACAGAATTGATGGAGAAAAATCACAAAAAAAAAAGAGAAAAGGAAGTTTTGTCGAAATTAATCATTAGATAATGATCGAATTAATGTACAATTATATGAACTAAATGACTTAAATTCTATTCAAGTTCCATACTGATAGAGATAATAATAGCTCACATATTATTTTATGGATAAAGAAAAAATAGAAATTTGAGTAACAATGAAATTATACTTTTATTTCTATATGATATCTGTTTGATTTCTTATCAAGAGCAACACTATATATATATATATGTATATATTAAACGCAGATAATTTAACGTAATAAAACTATCAGGTAAAATTATCAGGTAGAACTACCGATTTCCAATATAGAAGGTTTGATGGTTAAAATCTAATGATATTGCGAATTCAAACAAGTCCTACTACTCATATTTGATTATTAAATATTAATTCATAACATTGTAAAAAATAACAATTAAATTTGTTGTAATAATTAGTGAGTAATTTTACTGAAAGATTCTATATATCGAATTACCGCGATTTGATACAGATAAATAAAAAATATTCAACTACAAATATTCATTTTGATTGTCATTTTTAAAAGTTAGACATGTTTTTTGTATTTTACCTGGTGCGCATTATTATCAGTTGTCTTTCCACAATGCTTTCTAGCTTTTTGTTATTTTTAATATCCAACATATATTTTTTGTACACTAATATCTTGCGATATATTTCTTTCTATTAGATTTTCATGCAGTCAATTTTTTTTGTACTTTTTTAAAAATTTGACAATTTTACTGCTTCACTTATGTCGATATTTTTATATTTATTGTTTTCATGGTTGTCTTTTTTTCAATTAATCAAATCTTTGGCTAAGTAAGAATCTATTTGGATCGTATGGTTATCATATCTACAATTTGATGTAGACTGCAATTGAACTGAGTATTAATATGTATACGACAACATGATTGACAAAATAACGAAAGATGTTGAGTATGCAATCAAGACGATAATAATCGTGATGATACGATATTTTGTATTCTGGATTGAATAAAAAAAACTATAGCTATGACACATATTTTCTGGAAACGTAAATTATTGCATGATTCTATATTACAAACAATAAATTAAAAATTTTCTATATTTCAAAATTTCTTATTCATGAATTAGAATTATTTTTTTTAAATATTGTTTAACATTTAATAGGACCGCTTTTTAAAAATCTTCATAGTATAATAATATTTTAGATAAAAGTTTTTTTTTTTACAATTGCTAAAATCTCCAGTACAAACAAGCCGAAGGTGAACATCTAATAATAAATCCATTGAATCTCTAATTATGACTGAAGCTGAAAATAAAGTTGTTCAACTTAATCGAGATGTAGGATATTATCTGCTAACTTTGCTTGATGGAACAGATGCATCCAACTTTCTCGAAGTGGTGAATAACAGCGAACAATTTCGATCAATTGCGACAACATCTGACCAAATGTTTCTTCAATTGATGAAGATTTTTTGTGGTCATCAAAGAATTTTGGTGCCTAGAGAAATATATGAAAATTATTTACCAGAGTGTGAAGTTGTGGATGGTAAACTAGTCTTATTTGAAAAATACAATTCCTCTTTCATTCGACCTAGCCAACGTCTATTTGTACATCCGTGTTTCAGCATTGAAGGTTTCGGGAAACTATGCAAAACCTATCGGACATCGCTTTTTCAATGTTACTCTCGACTTTTGTCATTCAACAGCGATCTATACTGCGCAGATTTTGGGTTACTTGACTACGAGTTATACAATCGGACAATAAGTTCAGAACGGAATTTAAATGATTATGAGAGGAAATTTTTTAAAAGTAAGAGAGCTAAAATGCTACTTTCGACTTCCACACTCTTGATGTGTAATTTATTTAGTTAGCACTTATTTTCACAAACGAAATAACCAAAGTTGTCGAACCAGTATAATGTTTGTAAGCACTCTCAATGAGTTTCGACAAAATTTCGCAACTCGTTTTTCATCAGCTCAATGGCTTGAAGCGATCGACTTTTCGAAGTTTGCAATTGTTGGAGGTTGTGTAATCAATGCACTATGCCAGTCACCATTTCCCGATACTAAAGAACAAGATATCAACTTGATTTATCCATCAAATTGCGCAACTGATTTCGAAATAGCCGTGATGAGTGCTATCACTAAGTTGCAAAACATGGTCTCGAAACACTTGAAACATGAGATTCACGTGGAAAAAATTCATGGATTACTTCGCTACGATGTTCGTCTACCTTGTGGTGTCCAACTCAACTTTTTGTGTTTATCTACTCAAAACTCAAACAATCCACTTTCCCATATTCTTCACAACTTTGATATGGATATTTGTCAAGTAGCCTTCATTGGTAACTTTTTACACATTCTGAGAGAAAAAGCAAAGACTTCGATCTTGAAGTCTTGTGAAGTATTTCGAAGTTCCATGAATTTTCATAAGTTTCATGGAACTTTGTGAAGTCTTTTATAGTCCCTTCAAGCACTAGAAACTCATTTGAAGTCTTGAACACTCTAAAATATTTCATTGTCTGGAAAATCCATAAAAATGGGTTTCTGGGCACCTTTATGCGCAAAGGATTTCTGATACGATCTCGAAAATCTTTTGAAAGTTTTCTCAAGTTAAAAATAAGTATTACAGGTTTTGAAAACCCTTACAACGTTTCGAATACTATTGTTTTTAGATATCTTGGAAGGTTTTTAACGTTTGGAAATGGATCACTCTTTTTGAAAACTCTTCCATATTTCTAGAAACGTTATTATCTCCAACCCTATACGAGTTCCCTAATCTTCGGACGCACATTTTCAACTTGAAGACAGTTCTTAGAGGGTTGTCGAGATTGTTTCGAAAATCCTTTCGCATGAAAATGTTCGGATGCCCATTTTTCTGGATTTCTCGGAATACTGAATGAAGAGAAAATGAGGTCGCTGTATTTGAAGTGACGAAAAATCTCGGAAAGTCTCTATAATCTCTTAAATTTGATAAGTCTTCTGAAGTCTATTCTAGTCTCGCGAAGTCTTTTGAACTTACTTGAAATATTCGAAGCACTTGTGAAGTCTTTGGAAGTCACCAGAAAAAATTTTGGAAGTACTTTTGAAGGCTATTGAAGTCATTTGAAATCTCTGAACAACTTGTGGAAACTTTTGAATTCACTTAAACTCTTTGGAAGTCACTTGAAATCTTTAAAGTACTTTTAGAGACTTTTGACGTCACTTGAAGTCTTCGAAGAAATTGTG